CGTAACTTGCTTTTCGAAATAGTGAAAATGTTTGTACTGGGCTCAATTACTGGTTTGGAGTTTATATCAATGTCTGCCGTACTTTAGGTTAGTAAACCATTACAATTTGAAATATATTTCGAAAACTAGTTTGGACGAGCGGCTCACTAGCAATACTTATTAAAAAACGTTTTATCAATAGAAATGCTGGAATTTTATGGATAAAAATATATAATGTTTGCACGCAATGTAGTACACTAAAAAAATAAACGTGAGAACTTCAACGGCAGCGAATATGTCGATTAGGTAGCACTACAAATAGACACCACTCCATCAATTAGTTCGATCAACTTTAAATAGGTTTCAAACTGAACAAACTTATACTTGAACGAATTTAACCACCTCATAGGCACGCGATTCCCTCTAGGTTCGAACTTCAAATACTTCATTTGCGATATAGACATCGCTATTGACCTGCAATATATTTTGTGAAGGCCGTTTTGTAAAGGACAACTCTCGATAAAGCACTATCGGCCAGATAGAACAACGTATTGCGGTTGTTTCGTTAAGAAGGTACTGAGGCTAACAAAACATGCGAAGAGCTAGGGAAATATGGCAGAATGTCTGTGCCAGAGATAGATCGGATTCTGCTCTAATTTGCAAAGTTGTTTGACTAATTTAGAGTTGCTTTTTAAGAAACGTCACAAATGTTTTTAATATTTTCTAGATAATGACAAAGTGACTGCATAATTACTTGGCTACATCAATCAATCAATCCGAATGAATCTCGGTAAATGCGTAATACCAAACTTCCTTCTGTTGGTTAACTAGCAATACGAGCGCCTATTGCGAGCGTCCCTTCGCACTACTGGAGCTGATCGACGCGAAAATGCACCTAAAGGACAAGGAAATAGATGAGTAGAAGAACTCTTTTCCCGCAAACGTGCTAAGGTCAAAAACATGCTAGCGTTTAGCTGGATTGCCTAATGTAATACAAATCTTCAACACAGAATCATCTAGCCTAGAAAAAATAGATAAAAATCTTATTAGGGGTAGTTTGCTATACGCAGTGTCACAATAGGTTTAGCTTAGCTATTCCTATATTTTGTTTCTTCTATTTTTAATTTCTGTACTAGCTGACTCCATGACAGATACGGCGGTTGTATGTACCCTCTCATAGCTCAACTGTGTACCGTCTCAGGTAGGCTGTACGTCGTCACCGGAATATGACCATTTTGAATAGCTGCCAGTAAGTGTGTTTGGAAGAATCTTACAGGCAGAATTCAATAAGGACAAAGTATCATATTGTATCGTATGTAAATAGATTCTCTTCCTTTTCATTACAGATACAAATACATATAGTTAAATGAGCATTCGACATCAGGTCGTTCCACGAAGTTTCACTTTGAAGGAGCCGCGCTATTTAAATAGTTTTTTTCTAAGACGCATCGCTCCATACGTAAGTAGTAAGTTACCAGGTTTACCGACCGTCGGCTAGCGTCTCACTTTAGAACGACAAAAGACCGCCACGCAATTTTTTCGTTTCTAGATTTTGCCGTATTCCCGATCAGCTGGCAACATAGATTTTTTCTTATTCGAAACACTTACAAGGTTGAAATAATTAAAAAGTAATGAACAAAATTAAGTGAAATAATAATGAGAAGACTAAATGGGTCGGAGTACTGAAAATCGTTTTCTTAACGTACATTCTGTTGATTACGTAGAAGCTAATTTTGCTGAGACTGGGCTATCATGCCTATAAACACGTATAAAAACAGATCTCTCCTAACCTAATTAACAACCGCACGAGTATTCGTCAGAACGCTCAATGGGATAATCACCTGGTAGCAATAAACTTAGGTTCTTCTTGATAAAGTAATTATCGATGAATATTTGCACTTCATTTTATTGTCCAAATTGTGTAGACTTTTATTTTTCTTAGAATCTCTGCAAATACAGATTTTAAGCACTTTAAGAAAATCTGGCTAGAACACTTTAATGCATACTATGCAATAAGAAATTTTCCAAACACCAAAAATTCTATTGTGGTCCTACAGTGGGGTGCCAAAGCATTTTTTGGTGTTCCAGTGCCAACGGCTCTCAAATCTGCTCGACGAATGTCACCGTCCTACTAGCGCCTAGGTTCTCGATGAGGTCTGATGCTTCATATTTGCGACGAGTTCTGTCGAAGGTCTCGCGCGCACATATATATATATATATATGCACTTTTTATAAGTGACTCATAAATTGCTGGCTTGTCCGAATTTTTTGTAAAGCTTCCGATACAGCCGAAAGTAATGAACTTCCTGTCTACGTCAAATACAAAAGACAAGATCCGAAAAATCTTTTCCGAAAAAAAAGGTTAACGGATTCGACCGAGATTATAGAAGCGATTTCAAATTGCGCCAAGGGTTGCTTAAAAAGACTTTGCACTGTAGAAGTATATGAAACACTTGAAGTGGACAATCCTGACGCATCCATATTTTTAGCGAGAATATCCCCTTTAGGTGGATGCAATGTGAAGCTGAACCTCAATGTCTTTAAACATCACTTCCGGTATACGTGTTATTTCCTGCAATCTTAGTGATGATCTATTGCTTTTTAGCAATCTCTGTCGATTTCTCTGGCCGTGGATTCGTAGATGTACAATCATCCACATCAACAGGAAAAGTTAATGGTTCTAATTCTAGTTAATGGTTAATGGCTAATTATTTTTGCCTAGACAGATAGTTAAGTAATACAAATAATTCGATAGCTTTGAAATTAGTGGACAAACATTTACAACTACAACGCGAAAAAACAACACAATCAATCAACTATGTGGCCCGCTTTGTAAGTAGATTGGCATAGTAAGTTTCTTCCAATAAATTTAAATTCATTTGGAACTGGCGTAGCTAAAAAAATGTAAAGTTGGAAGTTCGAAGTTTACTATACTTATTACTATTAATCTGAATGAAACGTTCTTCAATTGATTGTTGTCAAATAATTAGCAATTTATTGTATTCAAGCTAAGAAAACGTTGAACTTGCATTTCTTATCATTGAGTTAAATATATACAAAGAAAATATAATGCACAAAAATAGCTTTGCGGCTTCGCAGGCGAGCTTCACCTATATCTATATTGTGAACTACGGTTGAAAAACAGTATATATAAATACAAAAGCGGAGTTTTTAGATCTCACATTTACAGGCATCATTTATATTATTCATTCACTTCAATAAAATTATGTAATGATCGTCACGGACGCCGGTTAAATAAAGTATTGAAAAGCCGGTTTGAAAAGGTGCAGCAGAGTCACTTACCAGAGTCCACGATCAGACAGAAGCTTTTCTTTGATCATTCTCACTGACGTATTCGCTTTTCTAGCCACTGACTTCAACGAACGTTGAAATGATGAAGTTGAAAGTGTAAGCCCTTTTATAGCTACTCTCAAATAAATATCTCTAGAATAAAACACCAGACATCCAGCTTGTAAAGTATATTCTCTGCAGATAATGCGATAAGACCATGAAGAAATAGTTGTGAGGCAGCGGGCACCTTTTTAAAACACTCAACTTCAAAACGTTTAATTTCCACGCGGCGCGTACGTGGGCTTCGTCAGCTGGCGCACCCTTCCACGCTCTACTGTGCTATGGCGAACACGATTTAAACTATATTCGTGAAGCGAAGTAATTCAACCTGGACTATTTTTCCCCAAATCCAATATGGAGCATCATTTTTTTTTTTTATCTATAAACAAAAAAGTTATTATTTAACTTTAAAAGCAAGTTTCAGGATGCGAATCATTACAAAATACATTGAAAAGAAGGAAGATTTATTCTAACTAATTTTTGTTTCCGTCGTTGCCAGTTGATACATTACGATTATCGAATAAGACAAAAACTTTGTCAACTTGCAAAATTATATATATATACGTAAAAATAAATAAGTATCCTTCTCATGTGTTCCATTAAAAAAATTATTATACTGTTAGCGTGATCCAGAATGAAATTTTGTAATCGATGTGCTGCTTGCTCTTTTTTTATTGAAGACACTACGAATAATACAACGCTGATACTAAAAATAACGATAGTAAAGAAACATACAATTGAACTTTCGAAGTCCCGTTTTATTTGAGCACACCCTTTCGAATAGTTTACTCCGTATCCAATTAGTTGTCAGTGTAAGTAACATAACCTGTATAGTAAATTTTCTTTAAAACTATTTGTTAAAAAGTGAGCATTTCTCTATAGCCTTGTAGATCGTCTACGTATTGACTACCAGCGTACATCGAATTGGTTGGATTATTACTCATTGTGATGTCCAGGTCCTTCACCTAATATTTAATCATAGCTATCATATAGGATATGTAAACGGTGGCACTTCAATTTGCAAGTGTGACCTTTTTCACCTGATACATTCGAATTTCGATCAAGTCAGAGGAAAGGTTTCACCAATGTATTGTATAGAACGACTGCCCTCTGACGAAAACTAAGTAATTTTTCAGCAACAATCCTGTCACTGCGGTTACTGCATTGTTACTTTGTGCTGCCGACATCGTATATTGAGTGACGGTCCCATTCTATGTACCGCACTGATTTATAAGACAATCAGTTTCTTTCTATCTAGAAAAGGCTGATATCCCTCTGATATTTCTGAGGACAAGTTTTGAATATCTTTCACAGTAGGGCTTGTATTATGATAATATAGACGCTAGTGTAACGTAACTATACAAACAGTTGAAATGAGGAAATCTAGTCAGCTCCAAACCGTAGCTGGGCCTTGAGTCCGAAAACTCACGGTTGTAAATCCGGCGAGAGAAGTATTATGCTTCTTGTGGTAAACTATAGCAACATATGAAAGCAACCTGCATATCAAGCTCAGCTGGTATCTGAGCCGTTCAGCCATTAGCAGTAGACAATAGCAACCCGCATGCATCGTGCCTCCAAGCATAAGTTGTCATGGAGATAGCCGACAAGCAGAGCAGAGGGGCCTCACTTGCCAAGCAAAGCAAGCGACACTGAGGAACCCTTAACCTATTTAGTTGCAAAAGTAAACTTTCAGATTACTTGTGCTAAGTAAGTGACTATAAGTTAAATTGTCATCTCATACTCGCACGTACCCGGGACGCATCAAGGAACTATAGAGTTTGGGGTGCAAAGGGTCGTGTTTCGGTGTGCGGTCTGCATGTCGGAGTATCGACCCTAAGCTGAACATCATGGTCAAACCCGTTCATGGCCGTGCAAAGCCAGTATACCACGCTACGATTCTGAAAAGGTAATTGAGGCGGATCAGACTTTTCTGATAAAGAGATGCACAGAAACCATACTTGCCTGAAAAATTCCGAAAAAAGGTGTATGACCCTAAACCTTCAGCTGAACAACGGTTCCTTATTGTACTGTTCAAGTGCGCTAATTTCGTCAGCATCGTCGTTTATTAAAAGGAAATCGTTATAAAAATATAGTACAACACACGATGGCAGCAACTGGAGTACAGATCGGTAGCTTGTGGGATCATGCAGTCAATATTTATCGACAAAAGCAGAAGGAGAAGGAGAAACAGTGCATTGAAAGTACTATGTTTTTTGTCGGTAGTCGTCAGGCTGGAAAGACATCGATTATCTACAAGTTCCTCGAACGAACAGATCATCCTAAACCGTCCGTGGCACTCGAATACTTCTTTGGAAGGCGATCGTTGTTTGGTTCGAGTTCCGATGTGTGCCACATCTTCGAGCTTGCGGGTGGCGCTTCCTTCAAAAAGATGGTGGCAATACCTATAACGCCGCAAAATCTGATGTCACTAGTTGTCATACTCGTGCTCGACCTTTCGGTTCCTGACGAGCTTTTCATAACAATGGATACTCTTCTGACGGCGATCAGAGAACGAATCAAGGATGTGATCGGTCAGAGTGAACAGACGATACCAGGACTTGCGACATCCGTCGATTCCGCAGCCCGTGCACGAATAGGCGAAAACCATCAAGACAGATATATAATGGATATCTTTCCCGTTCCGTTGCTAATACTTGGCACAAAGTACGATATGTTTCGAGATTTTGAACCTGAACATAAGAAGATCGTCTGTCGCTGCCTGCGGTTTCTTGCCCATGCTCATGGCGCGTCACTACAGTTTGTCAGTCAACAAACCCCAGATGTGCTTTCTTCACGAGTGCAGGCCGTTCTGAAAAAAAGGGAAATTGCGAGAGAAAAGCCCAACGTCGATTACAATACAGCCCTAAACATTGCAATCGCAGAGGATTCGTTCGAACACATAGGAATATTCGATGTCACCAATCGGGCGTCCCTTGAGATAGCCAAAAAAGCGTGTCGAGAACTCATGAGGAAGACCTTCGGTGAGAAAGATATCGATATCCACCCAGAAGATTCTGGCCGGGATGCTAACTTTAAAGAGTATGACATCGACATTGTGCTCGCGCAGAAACTTAGGGAACTCGAGCTTGAGGATAGCTCGCAGAATCTACTGAATATGGATATAACTGACCTTTAAATCAGACAAACATGCAATTACCGGCAACAAACAGAGTTCAATAACACTATAATAATCAAGGTTACTTAAATGAGAACAGAACAATTTTGACATTAGGTTTATACCATTATAGTGTTCGCGCTGAAATGATCCATATAATTATTTGGTGACTTTTTTTGCAAAGCTAATGACCGAAATGACGAAAATGTATGTTTGTAGCGGCACTTTTAGGTTCAAGAAAAATGGCATAAACCCTTATTCGAGTTTAACGAGGTCGACGAAAGTGTGTTAAAGCAAACGCTAATTGCAATGGCCTCTAAATAGACACTTTTGCGCGGATCGCCTACAAGCGCCGCTGTACGACTTGGACTGATTTCATGGCATTTCCTGCGTGTGAACATTCGGTGTACAGTTGTGTTCGGAATAAGAAGCGATCCAAGGAATTCCTATGGGAAAATATAGTTTTAGCGTAGAATATAGCAATGAGAAGCAGGCTGAACTGCATAGATGGCACGAGCTGATTTGCAATGGGTATTTCCTATACAAAGAGGAACATTGTCAGAGATAGCGGTATTGAAAACCGGGGCGGCAGTACTACTGTGTGTTGATTCTCAAGATTCACGACTACACGACTTTCCTTTTTGTCTGTTCAAAGAACGCGAAAGCTAGCAGTATTTATAAGGGTTGTATGTTTTCCACGGATCTACCTATTAAACAGATCTTAGCAAACGTAAATTCTAATCGGCTAAATCCCTAGTTTGTGACTCGCAAAGCTAGAAAAATGGGTCTAAAGGATGTCGATATAATACAAAGAACTATTTGATTGCTGAAAAGACAACGATAGGAAGAATTTACGGGTATATTTGCTGATCCAACATTATTATAGTGCGCCTCATTATTTTGTTTCATAAGCTTAAGTTACGTTATACTATATGCTACTAGAAGTAGGTAAACGAATAAGTTTAAGGCGCAATTTGTGAACAATCAGTAGCTTGTAAAAACGTGAGCTTGAAAACTAAGATAGAGTAACACCTATGATAGTGGAACTTATGACTTATAAGCGTAGAAATCTATATCTTGAATAGGACATTGAGCGCCCTGGAGTTCTACATGTTGTCGCATTGTGTTTAGTAACCCAGATAAAAACGGTGCGCGTGGACACTGCGTTGTAGACCCATTGTTTGTGCAAATGGCAAAATAAATATGATAAAATTATTTTGTCCTGATTCGTAATATGAAAAATAATGGTAGCAATATTAGTTTATCTTTGAATTGCAAATTTATGACACAGACCGAAGTTTCGATCTGTATCTTGTGCCTATTCATTCCACTTTTCGTTGACCATCCGAATAACAGTAATCTAAAAGCGATAACTGCCGCCAGTGTTGTCTAGGTCTGTTCTACAGTATAAGTTATGCAAGGAGCAATAGTCGAAATCTATTGGGCTGATTACTCACCGTGCGTCTGTGCCCTCTGAAGTTATACTTTCATTTTCTTGGCTCGACGCTACAGGCAGAACTAATCGAATTAACGTACATTGTATGCGCTAGTTGACATACGTCGTAGAGCAGTAAAATGAAACAAAGCCTCAGGATTCGTTGCCATTGGACGCTCCCGGTGTTCGGTGACCAGAAATTCGTGCCCTTTATCTGGTCTACACTTAGTAAATGGTTTGCCAAAGTGCACGAATCTTACATTTTTGTCACAGTAGAATGGATACCAATAAAATCATTAATTACACAGCATCATTGTACAGAATATATGTACACCGTGCGCAATTAATAATCCACGACGTTTTTATCTGGATTTACTTCAACGATAACTATAACAGCAATCTGTACAAGCATACAACAAAGAGTATAAAGGAGTACAGAGTAAATGCACCTGTTAATGGAAGTTCCGAAAAAGCCCCATTGCAGCAAAGGCTTTTAAGCACTGCTGAATGACCACCCTCTATATATGTGTGTATATATACTGTGAAGCAAACATATATCTCTATATTGTATGACAGGCGAGTTCTGCCCAATTCCGCATACTGCCTAAATTTATCTCCAGAGAGTACGTTCAGCCGTAAATGTTTCTATAGTCTTTCTATTGGATTCGTGCAGTTGCTGCTACATATATGCCTCTCGTAGGTCCAAGAAAAGCAAACATTTGCAGATTGTTATCTCAGTGAGTGTTATCACATTCAAAGTTGATTTTTGATATTAAATCGGTCCTGCCACGGTTATTAACGGTTAAGTTAGATATTTATCAATGTTATTTTTGCATGTAACAGTACTAGGGAGTTGTGCTACTCCAAGAAAACTAAGATCAAGTAGATTGTTCCGGACGTAACTTTTTTTCAGAGAAGTGAAACAACCAATCAATGGAAATGTTTTATTACGGTTTTATGCTCTTGCTGCGATTGCATATAAAAAGCCATGCGTTCTCGTCTATAGAAAAAGGCTAAATGAAAAAGAAACCTGTTAAAATGGTGAACGACAGGTATTGAACCCAATCATACAACAATCTAAATGGACATACTCGACGCATGTTTCGGCTCGTTTTCATCCAATTCTTTTATGCGTAAGTGTAATGTCGCACTAGTTAGCATCCTAATAGCAAGCTTAATGGAACTGTGACGAAAGGCTCGCTTTTAAGATTAAAAAGGAAGAACTACTGACTATTATTTTTAATAAGGGCATCATAAAGTGGGTTTTACCTAGGGCCTCTAGAAAGATCGGTCAATGGAACTGCGTTTGCTTTATGACAGCCATTATTAAATGGTAATAATGGTTAAACAATCTCATCGGTAAAGACCATTAGGTTACTGTTGCTTATAGTCAAGGTTAGTACTGTTTATATAGCTATAGTACAAGTATAGAATATGAGGTGCATTTGATCAAGTTACTTGCTACAAGCAAACCTTTTCATCAGTCGAACGTTTTCAGCTAATTAACTTCTATTGATGCGCTATATACACACATATAGTATGATTTCTGATAATTTTATGCGCACACCGAGTTTTTTGTCTCGCTTTATTTCAAATAGCAGTTCAGAAACGCATTGTTAAAAAAAAAAACGCACAGCTTTATCTGCAGCAGAATCTGATGGCGTTTATATGTTGGGATGCAAGCATCGCATAAGACTAACATGGTAGAGCCGACATGTCCCTTATACTCAACAAAAATGTTCGGTGTTTTTACAAAATAATTGATTAATGTAGTAATCATGTTCTATCTGTTAATATTATTTATACTGAACAAGTACAGGATAACAAGAGTATAAGTAAAGTTACTTTACAAAGAGTCCGCCTTTCCATGCAGATTGGTCTGTTGATTCGATCTCGTAGAATGGCCCACGTAGAAAGCCCGCAAGTACCTGATCCTCATTTGGCCGGTATAGTTTTAAGCTGCACGTTAGATTTCGATGATGATTGAATATTTATTGCAAAAGAAGTTATTGCTAACTTTCGGCAATTCGACTCAGATTGGTTGGGTGATTGGTTTGGCAATCGTACAATTGGATAGTCGTTTTCTTCAAATCTACAAAATGAACCCAAGATTATTTTTTACATTAAAAAAAATATTTATGTGCCACATTTCTGCGATTCACCGAAGTCACAAGGCTGAGAGTACGTCAATGTGGAAATTAAAAAAATAATTGCAATGCGCGAATAAGGCAAGTGCAATAAATTGTTAAGGTTATAGGAACGTGTCAACGGAAGACTAAAGCTATACATTGTATGAACAATGTAACAGAATGGAGAAAATCCGCATCCGAGCAGGGATTTGAATTAAAAATGGCCTTAAAAACAAAATGTGTTTATATTTATACTGGCAGTTTGAAAACAAAAATCAATAATTTCTACTGCAGCAGGACGGTATGGCGAGGTAACAAATTGACTGCGACTCCCCGTCGCGTCCCGAAAGGGACAATTAAGGTAAAAGGAGCAAGGAGGTTTTCGAAATATTTCAGTAATGCTTTTTTGTAAGGGGAGACAACAGAATTAGTATCGCCACTCGAATAAAACTGAGGACTAAATAACCGGAGTGGAATCGTCGGGTTACTGTCGTGAAGTCAGTGACACGAGGAAACCGGATAATTGTAACCAAATCCTACATTGGGCGTCCCGTCGATCGAGTTCGTTGTTTTTACGAGAGGTTAATGAAATACCCGCAATGAATCTAAGATGCTGTTGAAGCATTTTAGTGGGAGAACGAGGTAAGGTGGATCAAGATAATTACAGAAACACAATTATTGATATGCATCTTAACCCTAGTTTGCGCTAGACCGAATGGGACATCAAGTTACATTAGATTAATCTCTGAGGCCCACTGCTCATTTTCGAGTTTCTCCCGAATCTTTGTGCTCTAAAATAAAAAACTCACTCAGAACCAACACAAAAACGTTAAAGCCCATTCTGATAATGCTATAAATCTAGTGTTACTAAATCTTGCAATCTTTCTTATGGTAAGGCGAATTTCGCCACGATAGCGAGGCCAACATAGGCAATAATATGCCGGCAAATTATAGGTAATAAATTTGTTTGATTCTCTAAGATTTAATAACGATATAATAGATAATGACAACTCTCTATTTTCAGCTTACCCCACTGAAATATATGCATTTTTTTAGATCTCCTTTATTTTTTAATTATGGTTATTAAAAATCTCAGGTATTTAATTAATGTAAAATACAGTTGCGGCATGATTGTGTTAAACAACCAGAACATCTAAAATTGTTATCAAATTAGTAGCGATCACAGGTGGTTTGCACTAGAATATACCCGTTAAGGTCACAAGCGGTAATGGCTTTATCACTAATTTTGTCTTAATGAAGTCCTGATATCAAGTGTAAGAATTTCCTGCAGTCTCGAATGTCAGTTTATGCATGTAGGGGAACCTATTTAATGTTGCTTCTTATTAAGGGAGTATTCGCGTATTGGCATCTAGGTGATTTCGACCTTTTCGGTACAAAGCTCTTCATGTCTCCATATTTCCATTTGTTTTCCCTCAGTTTGTCATCTTTGCTTTCCTCTGTTTCACCTTTCGTCCTAAATTAAAAAAAAAAGCTGGTTCAGCTGTATTCCAGCTGCTTCGTTCATATTTCACGCCACGTCCTGCTCAACCTGATTTGTCCTACCAGTTTACAAGCGCTACGTATGAGCGCCATCCATCGTTGAACTTGTATCTATGACCTTTTTTACTACCCTGGTCAATCACCACGGGTCTAATCATCGTTTTTTTTTTACAAGACTGCCTCACTTCATACAAGTTACGTATCATCGGCTGAACGTTTCGGTTTCATGTGCCCATTTACCAAACATATATGGGAGCTATCACCAAAACACAAGTTACTGGCACCGCTTTAGGATACACTTTATAGGAAAGGAGCGCTGAGGTAAAACTTGAATTAAAATTAAGTTTGAGACATAGACATTTCAAAGTGAAGTTTTACGTTACTGCTTTGAAGAAAGTAATAAGATCCTTCGAAAAGAAATTTCATTTCGACGGAAAATAACCAACTTTATGGCCGACGATACGTGCCTGGATACATATAGGTTTACGCATAAATTCATTCGATCTCATATACCAGTCTCACCGGCGTAAAAAACACTACTTTGTTGACTCTTTTCGCTACACAACGTCATTATATTTACACACTCGCACACATAGTTATTACATCAGGGGCGCGGTTGCGGCCGCAACGGCGGCTGCGCGTCGTCTGCTATCATTGTACAACTCTTAGTATACACTTTGATATAATTACATATTATGCAGGCATAGGAGGGATACAATTTATTCAATTCCGCCAATGCACAGGCAACTTCCAAACAAACACTACAGGATCGTTTACCTATAGCTGTTTATTTAGTGTCGACCCTTCCGGTTGTTTCTCTCTATGGATAACGTTACCATCTCGTTCGCATTGTAATGCGCTGTCATTTTACGTTTACTTTATATATCACACAAAAGCAAAATTAGGATCAATGATTTTCAGTGCGTACCGCATGCCTCTACCTGCGTTTTCTATCTAAGTTATTTCAATTAGTTGTGCCGTTGTTGACAGGACAAAAACGTGTCGAAACCGTTTTTAACAGGAAAAGAATAAAAACATATGATACAAACAGTCATCTTCATAATATTATGAAAAGAAAAACTAACTCAACAAAACAGCAGAAGCGTTCTGTAAAATCTCTCGCTTCTAAAATTGCACACGCTTTGTCACTCGAGTCCCGAGGTCGCGTTCTAGTTGACTGAAAGAAGCGCTCCCCTCAAGGTTACCTCCAGAGGGCAGCATAACCCCCTTTTAGACTGGCAGGCAAAGGTCCGCCTGCTGTAAACAGCTGGAGCCCTGTGGGATCGTAACAGTGTGTGTAGACAGCGGGATTGAAGTCGTCAATAAAATTTTGGTCTGTTGGTGTCATCCAGCCGGGACTACACTGAAGATAAGATTTATTCCTTAACGAAACTGGTTCGATGGTGGCGTTCACAAAGGGCGCGTCTACTTCGATATACCGCTGAGTTCGCATGTCAACAAACAGCACATTACTCTGTCCAGTACCAATTGTTAGCAAATGATCCCTGAACGACACAGATCTAACTCCACAGTTGTTCTTTATAGCGTGAATACTTCTGATGGGATTGAGATTCCCACTGTCTAGTAGGGTGACATGTGATTTGGATCCTATCGCCGTCACGCGCATACGGTCATGAGATGCGATGCAGACATTTTCGGTCTCATTTTCAAGGATGTGCTCGTGCGTCAGTTTGAACGTTGGCGTATCCCACACCTGTACACGAGCCGTTAGGGACAATGACAGGAGTGCATCATGCTGATGGTCTACAGCCAAAGCACGAACCTTGTTACCATGCGAGGACACACAAGTCTTTGCGTTCATATGAAAGTACATCGGTAGCGTCTCATTCCGAAGGCCCCTGACATAGCCCCTATCAATATATTCTTTCCGGCGTGATCCATGCGCTTGCCATAAAGCGATACGGGTGTCTCGACCGCCTGAAACGTAGTGTTCGTCATCGAGCCATTTTACGTCGAATATCCAATCCTCATGCGTGGATTCGCCGACACACATCGGCTGTAATGACGGCAGCTCAAAGACGGCTGTATCGTTCGGATTACTCGCACCCGTCGCTAGCCGAGTCCTGCTTGGGTTCACTGCAATTCCATGAATCCCGCAGAGATCGTCGAGTGGTGGGTTAGTTGCTGCGGTACTTTTGAGATTTTCTAATTCGAGTAACTTTTTCATTTTCGTGTCAAGGATCATCAGACGATTACACTTTGTGCCGAACACAACGAGACGGGCGTTGAGCCATTCTGAACAGAAGATTTTATCCAGTGGCTCGACTGGAAATGTTTTCTCTCTAAGCTCTTTTGTACGTAGCAAACGAAATAGTCCGAACAATGAGTCCTGACGAACCCTTTCACCAAATCCTGCCTCTCGATAATCTAAATACCGAGGCAAGAATCTGCTGTATTTGGTTTTTCGCGGTCGGCGTTTCGCAACAGGATCGATGTCGGACATTTTCCACCGCATCTTTGGGCATTCATAACGCTGGCGGCCTTCAGTAAAACTGAAGTCTTCGGCTTCCCATCCGCAATCCTCTTCCGAATCTTCAATATCTTCGTCTAGGCGAAAAAAAGGACGCACGGATGCCATCATGTCTAACAAGTGAGAACAGAAAAGAACAAGGCAAAAGTTTAAGCTCAAGTAAATTCAGGTGCTAACAACATCAGGATTTTTAATAAAAACGGATGGGTTTAGCTACATCTTATATTTAGTACGGAAATTGCGCTACTTTGCCATACTGGTTTTAGCGAAGCCTATAGATACGAAAAAAAAAACGCATAGATAGTTACGAAACCTACTATCCGATAAACCTTCGCAAAACTCATTCGACATTTAGCTTGCTCGAGCGTCGCGTAGAATAATTTTTTTGTTGTACCTGAACATAAATCGACTGGTTGTACTAACCACGATACACTTCCGAAAAACGCGAAGCGCCAGATATGGCGATGGTAATCAAATAGCACGATATCACGGTATGTGTATCAGTCACTCGCATTGCTCCATTGGCCTACGGCATAGCCGATCATTTCCAAAACAACATATTAACCTAATAGACGTTCTAGTATCACCGATCATTCCTAACGATCAGATTCAGCTGTAGTTACGTAGTCCGTAGTATAATAGAAAGTAGATGATAATAAGGAAAAGGAAGGACTCGGTGTGCTTCCGATACTGAACAATCAATCTAGAAGATTAACTAACCGTATTTTTCTAAATCCTTTTAACGGTGAAACAGTGCAAAAAAGCACATCTAATGAACACAGTTTTTCATCTTAAACAGATTAGTATTAAGAATATCCCACACTGCATCTACTAGTACGACATGATAGTTTTGAGTGTAACCTATGAGGACTTGTAAGCAATCTAGTGCAAATCGTTTAAAATGCCCAATATTTCAAATATCTACACGTCCAAGGTCTCAAACCAAAATGGATAACTCATTAATCGTGATTTAAGAAGTATAATGTCTCAACAAACAAGAAGGGAGAGATGTTGAAATAGGGAATCACCAAGAGGGTCTATTAGAGCCTTAGACATGCTTAGGGGCTGTGTGTCTCATTAAAGAACAAAGAGCAGTAGGATTTAGGCCACTAACTACGCAGCAATGAACCGGAACAAGCCATCATCCAACAGCTATATTTATTACACACATAAATACCTTCTGAATGTTCCATTTCAACAACAAAGCTCGCACAGGACTAATGGCTACTCTATAGCAACGGAAGCTATTTCAAGCCGAAAAAAACATTAGCAACACTAGTTATTAGTTATTTCGATACACTCACTAACATGGGATAAATTTTTAAAGGTACTTTAAACATTCTTCGAAATGGAAATTTTGGAAATCTTACGCGGACACGTAACCTTCCGCACTCAAATGTTCTTTCCTGACTACGGAGTACAAGTGAATTTCTATTGTTCGACTGACTAAACCAATTACGCTATACGCAAACTCATTTGCAGCCTCCGTTTAACGGAGAACATGTCACAACTCTCTCCGAAAAAGACTTACGAGCACGCCGAAGAGCAGCCCTAGTTGAGTACAGTCGAGATACTGGAACAAGAGAAACCGGGAGCGGGCGCTTATTTTTATCTGCTCACCCACACACGCCCACATACGCATGCACCCACGTAGAGAATCAACGTAACCGCGAAGGGGAGCAAAAAGATCACCGGAGCATCAGCATCACCACCATCACCCGTTTGCGATAAGGGCAGATAGCCATTCAGGCAAAAAATGCCATCCGTAGAGATGCCACCACACAGAGAAACCCACAACAGACTCATAAATTCACTCTCACACATCCGAGTTTAGCATTTTGATTATGCTTAAACCAACTAACCTAACGGCAGCTAGCGCGCTAACGGTAGCAGTAAAATTAGCAAGAGCAACGTAATCGACGAAATCGCCCATGATTAAAAGGACACGTTATTAAATGAATCAGATAGCCAGCGGTAGAATTTTCCGCTTGCTGCAATCTTTCTGACGCAACAACGGACAAAAGGTATCAAGTGGAGGAAACAGAAATGCCTATACAGGCAAAAGTACCAAAATAGCTTGATACTACCAATCTTTATAATCTTATTATCTTCGGAATTTTGCAATGCGTAATCTCGCTCGTTTTTCCTCTTAAGATGTTATCGATAAGGACCATTGACATGTATTATCACGAATCCCTATTGATCGGCTTACTCCGATACGATAACGTAATTCAACATTGCTCAATTTTTCTGTAACCAAGACTCTTGGATAATAATACTACCCTTCGAAAAGTTAACACCGAATCAATCACACGTTATTGAACATCCCGAGACTGGAAAGTGAGCATGGTATTTACACTGGTTAAAAAGTAGCTCCTGCATGACATAATGGTCCACTACTGGTGATTTAACCGTAATTCTGGGCTTATCGTCTTAAGCATAGTCTCAGCAAGCTAATAAATATTATAAAAAGTCAGTTAGAAATATCAAACCCAAGGCGTTGTAGTTAATTCTCTACACAATTGAATGCACACACCGTCGACGTCGACTCTTTTCAATATTCGGCATTTAAGAGGTAAATAAGATGTAGAAAAAAAGGTATTTTGGTTTTGCGTACAGCTGTTGAATTCGTTGATCCACAGATTTGTTATGGATTTGTCCTTCATAGAGGCTCACCGAAACGCGCCAGTTCAGCTCAATCTCTAATTTGTTTTCATATCCTTTTAGATAGGTTCCATTGTGAAAACGTTGCGATTGTATAGCGATCCCCCTGCGCCGCATGCTAGATACGTTCGTTCCAACTGTATTCTCTACACGCACAGAAAACAGACAAACGGTTTTAACAAAAAGTCATATGAGCGACAATCTAGCGAAATATAGCAAGAGAAATCATACAATATGCAAAACAGCTGAACGATGTTTAGAGATCGTCCCACGGTGATTACTTTTTACGGTAGGCAAACTACTTTTTGCCTACCTAGAGCGGCACATTCGACGAATGATAATTCGGGCAAACGTGACCATTTATCTAGGGTATCATCACTCGATTATTTGAGACAAATTTTATCAGCTCCGAACATCACAGATTCGATAGAAGTGTAACGTAGGCGCTCACGGTCAGCACACATAAAGTCAGTGGCAAGGTCGTTTGGCGCCAATAAATTCGAGTCATTCGTAAGAAACCTGGTCGTCATGTGCAGACATTTCATCCACGAAATTTTGTCTACTGTCAATATTCGTCGCAAAAATGAAGTTCATATCGATCAGCGAAAGCAGAACTAGCAAACGCCTTCGTTGTTTATATGTATGTGTATGAATGATTCCAAACAGCGCACTCGTTGATATCGATGATTAAAAATACATTTCGATTTTTTTATTAGCAGAAATGTTTCCAAATGGGGAAAGGACCTTCGATCATGGAACTAATTATAAACGGGCGCATATACCAGATTTTTACAAAGGCGTTTTCTTATAGAAATCATCCATTTACAGAACAAAGGGAAGTCTCTCTACGTTGAGGATACTAAAGAAGCCCAATTGGGCGGAAGTGATTGGATAGCCTAAATGTGAGCTAATTCTATACTCACGGAATTGATAATTCTCAGTAAAATGTACACTATACATGCTTGCTGACGCACACCACGCACATATATCGTCGCTTCTGTTAATGTAACATTTGCTTTTACCTTCTCAAAATAGAACTATCTGTTCTCCTTCGCACACCTGACCGTCAGGGCGGACCTCGAAACGGAACAAGCATAAAGGATGGCGCAGTTGGATGCACACAATCGCCTATGTGCAGTCAGTGGTGTGCAGTTAGTGTGTCTAAATGCAACAGCCTGCGTATTCTAATAAGGTTTCCCGTTAACGTCAATTTAATAAGAATTAACTATCGCCGTTAATTTTCATGCCATATTATTTCATTGGAACATATGTTACTACATACGAGTTGATAGCTACAAATCAGAAAAATCCTCTACCACTTAAAGGCCTACCGATGATGACGCGAAATGATTATGATCATCAGACTTGCTTTTCGTGTGACCAACTCCGTCACCGGGTTAGCTTCGTCTACAAAACAACAATTGAACCATAACAGCACGTGCATTCTATGCGACGGTCGTGAATAAACGGCGCATTGTCACTGAATTTGTTTGCTTGGTGATCCTGCCTTAACTTGTAAACTAAAAATGTCTTCTTCGGAGAGTTGCGATGATTCCGACTATGATTCCGACACCGCTGTAGGTTCTATTTTGCGGTTTCTGGGCAATAGAACTTCCTTCAGTGAAAATGTGTCCCATAATAAGCGCGCTGCGTTTATTAGGAAAGTGGTCTTATGTCAAAAAAAAAATAGAAGATGCAATAGGCTTTTCAAAAACAGTGTTGGAGCCGTTATTCGTTATTCTTACCAGCTATATCTAATTAATCAAATGCCGATATCATATGGACATAGTAACAAAATTAGATAATTAATAAGCCTTACTGGCAAGTTGGAATTTTAGCACCGATGCTTTAATTCCAGTCGATATTGCCGTCTATTTTTAATCATCAAGTGTCGTTTCAATTATTTCGGTTGTTTCGTTTCGGTTGTTGCAAGACACGAGCTCGGAGCGCTTGAGCGACAGCCGACCAAATTACCTGATCAGCATTATGTGACCCTAGTGTATTCTGATACATTTGCTGTTAATCGGTTAAGTAATAAGCATGTCCAACTGCTGCGGCTGCGTTACAAGTTTAAAAAAATGCTGACTGCGTGTTGACCAATTTATTTATACGACAAGACACACTCGACATTTAGAAAGCGCTTTGGAAAAATAACTAAACATCTATTCGAGATTCGAATCACTTAGATTATAGTCCGGACGTTGTAGAAGTGGCAAATAACATACTTTTGCCAATCGAAGAAAGCTGTTTTTTTGCCGAAAGGGGATGAATTCTGTCACAGTGCGATGTTGTAACATGTGTATTGTCTATCGTTTTTTACAGTTGCAAGATGCCCTTGCCTCGGGAAGACTGGCTCCTGGGTTATACGCTATGACTCCTTTGGCAGCTACACAATCACAGATTAATGATTCCGAAGCCCTAGAGGCTAAACATCGTCAAATCTATCTCGATATTGACTGGTTTGAACGACTAGATTGCACGACTGGATTGGCACCCCTCACTCAAGACTTGAAGGAGCATGAGGAGGAACTCAGACTGGATGTAGAAAAGAAAGGACTTCAAGAAGATGATGACAATGTGCATCAGGATTTCAAACGAGAACTTATGTTGTGAGGAAACGCTTCTGAAAATTTCTCAAATTATAGGATAGTCTTTTTTTCGGTTTTAAACTAGTTAGTTGGCAGTGAAGGCGTCATACGGAAAATCACTTTACAGTTCATTAGTGACTCGAGAAATAATGTTACCTTTTTCAAAGAAATCTCGATGATGATACAGTAGTTGGTTTAGCCCACGTTTTTTTTTTTTATAGCTACCGGCAAGCACAAGCAACCGTGCTTGACGCGTTGGATCGACTAAAAAAACTTGGTGTACCCACAAAACGTCCTGAGGACTACTTTGCACAGATGGCCAAAAGCGACGCTCATATGACCAAAGTGAAGCAGAAGTTTCTGGTAAAGAAGAAGCAGATTGAGAGATCACAAAAGGTTAAACAGATTCGTGAAATGAAGAAACTCGGCAAAAAAGTGCAGACCGAAGTGATGCTTCAGCGAGCCAAAGAAAAACGCGAACTCATGGAGAAAATTAAACGGTGTGAAGTCGATAAACTACAGCTTTGCTGAAGTATTTTCTATTGCTGTCACTGGTTATTGTTAACCAATCATTTTATGTGGTTAATACTGAAACTGGCAACCAACCAGCCAGACAGACTTGTTGAGATTTATCAGTGGGGAATTAAGCCTATTCGTTACTCTTGTGGGTCTAGTGTTCAAAATGCATAAATTAAAATGCAAACATGATTAATGAAGCATTTAACATTCAAAGGCTAAATAAATTTGTTGGATGAATTGGAAAATAACAATTATTATATATAATTTCAGATATAAAAAAGGCAAGGGTACACTTGAATTTCTTGATGAACATCCTGAGCTTAAAAAAGGCCTCAGTCGGTCTCAGTTCAAGCGAATTGGAAAGGACCAGAAGTACGGATTTGGAGGCCAGAAGAAGCGAAGTAAAAGAAATACAAAGGAAAGCTTTGAAGATATTGGTGGAAAGGTTGGTAGTATAAGTAATTATGTGTCGGTTCAAATTGTTCATGTTTATAAACTTAATATTCGTTATTATTGGGTATTCCAAAAGGCATCACGAAAAGCTGTTTGACTTTAAGGAATGGGTATTAAACACAGCATTATTTTTTAAATAGATTTTTGTTGAACAGAAATGGTGTTACATACCTTTTTAAAGACTATTTACGCAGCAGCTTTTGCATAGCACAAATAACATAGTTCTTTTTTTGACATTTTAGAAAGCTTACGCTAAGGTTCCTAAGGCTCACCATAAAAAGTTGAAAGCGAAGCAGCGGAGGATGAAGACCGCTTAATATAACTAAACTGTATATATGTAACAACCCTGGCGATGATGTCTCAACAGACTTCTTAATTGGCTCTTTGTTTACGATAATAAAGTATAGAAATCTAATAACAATTTAAATTCGTCCTGTTGCCCGTGTCGACCTTGAAACGTCGTGTGTGTAATACATGCAATGAAAATAAAAGATGTGTCATGTATATCAATTGGAGAGAAATCTTGTACTTTAAAGCGAACATACAATAGCATAGGCTTGCACTGCTTATTCAGATTGATTTAGCCTGTTATTTGCCATCCATTTACAAGTTTACTCTGTTGGTTTAATATTTGAGTGAAGTGAAAGTGCTTTAATGCAGTAATTTTATTCCAAACTAAGTGCAATTTGCAGTAATATCAAACCCAAAACCAAAATATTTTTTCATTAAAAAACGCGAATGTCAGAAGTGGGGTTCGAACCCACGCCCTCGTAGGAGGAGCAGAGCTTAAATCTGCCGCCTTAGACCACTCGGCCATTCTGACTTCTGGCATCGCGAGCGACTGTGGTTCTACATTTCGTAACTACTATGAACGAGACCACGCAAAGCACCTGTAATAATCGATTGAAGGCACTGATTATATTCTGTTCGCGACAGTTAACACTGATTCGAAACGGAAAACATATCATAAATAATGATTCAATATTCTATGGTGCAACAGTTCAGAGGACCTTAAGCGGGTGTTTCCTACGAACTTAGATAGATAAAAAGCATTAAAATGTTAATAGTTGAAAGTTATGTTTGGGCTACTCCACTCATGTCTGAACCTTCATGATCTTGCTACTGCCCTCCCATTTGCTCTGAAATGCAACAACGTTCTTTGATTACATGAATACTATTTTACGTATCCTCCTTAGTTACATAATTTATAAATCCATATACAGTGGATCAATGTACAAATTAATATGAGAGAACATGAATACTTCCAGAAGCCTTTACAATAACAAAAAGTGAGTTAACTATATTTTTCTTTTAGGATTAAGTAAATGGTCTTTCAATAGAGAGACGAACAGTATTCCCACAGATACCTTAAACGGTTGGATGCAAACACACGTATGGAACTACATTTCGACATAATTTTTAGAACTCATTTCTATATAACGGCGCCTATATTACGACATGTTATTATTACTAAGAAAACTGCCTTTCAATGGAGACTAATTTTCGGATTCCTGTATCACTAAAACACCGTAGACCCCCAAAGACATAAATATAAGGTGAATTATGACGACGAACATAATGATAATATTAAATATTAAAGTCCTTGTTACTTGTTAGCTGTTACCTACGTCGGACTCATATCAGTAGTTTGTTATCTACTTGTATTCTCCATCGCAACGTTCCAGTTTCACTTTAACTTTCGTTGAAATGATTTAGCGAAGAAAAGCATTGCAAAAAATATTCCGCTAAATAACTAATAACAATAATGATATATATCCTGTCCGCTATGAGGAAACCCAAGGATTAAAAGATAACAGTCCATACATGTGGTGGTGTACATAAATTAGTATTTTTTTTATTTAGCTTTGGTTGCGATATTATTTTTTTATATACTTCTTTCTATTATATGTAGACCATTCTGCTCACTATGCTTTTCATATATATATATATATATATATATATATATATGTGAAATAGTACATCCGTATAAATCTTGTATTATAATATAATGTTATATTATGAATTATTAACTGAACAAAGTAAAGGATGAATACTGTGAGAAGAAAAATATTACCTTTAACAAACAACGTTTTATGTACCATGCGATCGGAGTGGATCAGTTATTATCAACAAACCGCACTCTATAAACCGGCCCCACGTCTAACAAGCAAAATTTTATTTCTCATTAGTGGAACTTCCATCATTTGATACACTCGTGGTTGTTTTGAAAAATAATTATGGTAACAACAGTACTATGTACTAACATTATTTCTTGAAGGAAAATAGTGGGTGCACAATGAGCAGATCTATTCGTTTGAGGCAAATCAGGTCTTACTGTCCATAATTCGTGGAATTAGTTAGCCAAAGATTATATAAAACTACAAAATTTGTCAAATGGACATATGATTACGCCTAATATTCCGCTCGTAATAAACCCTTTTTCGCAATTTCGTTTGCTGAATGTAAGTTGTATAGAAGCAAGTATAGTGCAGTTGAGACAACCGTATTATCAGGTGCTCCTTGTTTTTGACATATACTAAAAATTTAACGATTAGTTGAAGGACTCTATGCGTGGCGACGAGACAGCTATATCTGGTTCCACGATAACAACAAATCCACATTTTTCTATATCCTAGTTAAAAACATTCTGGTAAAGCTGGTGACATATCCCTGAAATACTCCACTCACACTGTATAATAGTATACATAGTATCATGCTGTAATCGCGTGCAGATGTAGTCAATGACAGAATAGCAGAACAATTGACACATGTTGGATTATTTCATTCTCGGAAGTTCACTTAACTTTTTTAGTGTAGAGAGAAAGTTATAGAGATCGCGCAGATTGGCACCGATGGTTTAACCCTTATTGTGCATAGGTCACTTAGGATACAGCTCTAAACTATGACGGCAGATCCAAGACTAATAGTTGGTTTTTAAAATCGTGTAAAGGAACGATCCGGTCTTTAGGCGAGTATATAAATGTGGATAACAGTCTAACTTGATTTAATGGAAAAACTAAATATAATAAGGAAACTTACATAGGCTTTGTATTGCATACTTTTTTGGCATACTTAATTTGATAATTGAAATAGGATGGCAAATCGTTTTTAATTGCGGAGCTCACCGTTTTCTGGCGCTTTCAGAGTTTCGTGCCAATTTCCGTCTACCTCGAATGGTTTTAAGGCTTCTAAGTAATCAAAAATGTTTACAAGAAGGGAAGAACTGCTTTGGATTTAAATGATCCCTGTCCTAGAGAATTGCCAAATCTATCTCGAAATTCCGTACGAATACGTCAATAATTAACAAAGTTAATCAAAGGGTCAACGAGTATGCTTGTATTATTTTTGTTCCCTTCGATAGAGCTACAGCAATACTTCTCAATTGTGACTTTACATCTCTCTAAGCGTTTTCCATCAGGCGCTTAATAGCTAAGAGTAACTACATGTTTCTCAAAGTAGTTTAATAAAAAAAATAGCATTCATAAAAGTTATCCAGTATAACTCGGCGACTTCTACGATTATATTCATAGTTTTCGTTGCCCTTTCATTATTATCTCATAAACAAATTTAATTTCACAATTTGTCGCCCAAGCGTCTGCTCTTGGCTGGGCCGCTAGAGGTACTGCCATCCACGTTTCGACGGTACTCGAACAAGAACGGAACCTTCCACACGCGACATATATAGTGAAATACTGTCCATCGGTGCGAATGACAATCTGAGAGAAAATGTATAATCCAGTCTTTTATGCGTGCATTATCTTGTTTGAACATCACCCATAGACGTCTCTTGAAGTTTCACCAAAAACAGTGTCACAAGGCCAATCCAACTCATATTTCGTCCCTTCTCTTGTGCATGCTTTATTCTAAATCGTTTGCGTCCAACCCTGCGTCGATTGCGAAGAGCTCTATGTTTGTAAATATAAAATTCTTCAAAGGCCACAGGACAGACGGGCACAGCCAATATAAACTAGTCCTACATGGTTTTCTACGTTTTCTTCCTCTGGTGCAAGTAAATATCTCTATTTTCGGGATGTCTACATAGAGACATAGAGTGCTCCGCCGGACGATGATACACATTAGTAAGCCGTAAGCACATATGACCAAAACTAGAAAGTCAACTGGTTCTGCAGATGAAAATGTCGGCAGAGAACACAGATCAGTTGAAGAACTCGCTGAAACAATACGAACGGCATTATCATGTGAATTACCCTAGGAAATAACCAACGATGACAATTAACGATTTTATACTAAATTTTTAATCACATGAAGACCGATATGGTTTACATGTTTTGTTTTTCTATAATATGAATTACATCGAAAATAAATATTTCGAAGAAGACTATCACGGTTCGCTAATTTCAGTTGCTGCTATCATACAAAAAAACATTGCCAGTTACGTTTTCAATTACCTCGACTGCACTCCACTTAGATTGTGTTTCCTAGCGGTACTTTGACGCTGTTTATTCAAGAAGCTTCCACTAGCCAAGCGCTGCTCTGCAGCACGACGCTGTTCGTGCGCCCCAAAGTTGTGCAGAGCCGTCATTATTAACCGCTCCTGTAAAAGGAAGATCAACTAGAAATTGGTGAAATAATGTAAAAGTTTAGAATAACACAAGGTTAAAAATCTAAACTTATTTCATCTTGCTTTATAAAAATAGCAAATCTCAACCGTTTGATAGATCTAAATTTATCATTTTTCATGCGTAAGTCGAAGGTTCTAAGCAGCGGTACTTCGAGCACGGTAAGCTCTACCTGAGAGTCATATTGGCTTCTCATTTGCGCCACATCCCGTTCAAGCTTCGAGATGAGCTGATCCTTTTCCGAAATTTCGTGCCTCAGTGCAGCTTCGCTACTACCGTCATTGAGATTTGCGAGCACCGTTCGAGCCTTAGCGATACAGCGGTCGTACTTCTCTTCTGACTGAATCAACTCCTGCTTCCGTTCCTCCAATTCACGTGTTAACTTCTCCACCTATACCAAACAATGAACGAATACAAAGTCGTATGTCAGTGAGGTAATGATGAGCTAAAGGATTCAGCAGGCGGCTGATCCTTTGCTATAAAAGTTATCTGAGAAAGTGAGGCTGAATATATATCCCTCATGTCACCAGATCGTAAACGTGGCCATGTATAATAATGGTAATAATAATATGTAAAGCTTTTACGCCTAGGGAAAGGAGAGTCGTGTATTATCTTTGAGAACAAATGGTCCACCCATTCCTATGATTATATGCTAGGTAGTTGAACGTAGCTCTTGACGACAACAATCCACGTGCGCTAATATTGACTGTTATAACGTTTCAAAAAACTGTACAGCCAGCTGGCTTATCCGCTCTATGAACATCACGCGGCCGTTCAAATTCTACTCAATTTTCAGCTACACATATTAATACCTAAAGAAATAAAGCTAAATTTTACCTTATCGTTAAGGTCACGAACGATTGAGTTGTCTGCGCTGTGAGATTCGAGCTCCAGAATCTTCATGTTCGCCGCTCGAAGTTTCTGTTCCGTTTCTTCTTGAAGCTTCTTCAAGTCATCGTGAAGTTCTGTAGTTACACCAAAATAAATTCATCACGACTCTACAAAACACCAAATTCTTTGTTGGTAAAAATCGATTATTACTGCAAGCTTTTGTTTGCTCCTAAGTAGGGTAATTTAGCGAGCGAAAAATATGCCGGGAAGGGCTACAGTAGGTGTTCCTGTGCCAAATGTAACGCTAGTTCTGTACAAAGCAAAACTAACCTTTATACGCATCACCGTCGGCACTCGTAAGTGACCGTTTTCTGAGCGTTTCATTCTCGGCCTGTAATCTAAGCAACTTCTCCTTGAGAAGTGCTGGCGAATCTTCTAGAAAGTCACTACTACCTGGGATCATTTTAGCGCCAACGCCGTCCGTGGAACTCTGCTTGTTCAACTGAATTAAAAAACGAATAAAGATACCAATACTTCATAAATCGAATCAATCAGTTAAGTTCAGCCCACGTTACATCGGCTGATTGGTACTGCACAAAGTAACACGAAATGGCAGACAAATAACAGCGGGTTCGAATACATATCCTTGAATTCGGTGAAGCCAAGCAAAACTTCAGCTAAGCGATAGCTTCAATTGAAATAATAAGAAAATAAGAGTTGCGCCATTTGTACCATGTCGACAACATGTATCTAAATACTACTGTGATAATTTAGATGATTTGTTTTAGCTCTAGTATATTTATAAGTTGAGCTAGTACCTAACAAACTCACTTTAAGTTCCTCGATGCTTTCCCTAAGCGTGTCCCTCTCAATCAGAACCCGATCCTTTTCGGCAGTCAGCGCTGTAAGTTTCTCTTCGAAGCGTCTTTTTTCAAACTCTGCCCGATCCGCGCGCTCCGTCTCTTCTGTAAGCCGTTCGTGAAGAGAGTGGGTCTCTTTCTTATATACTTCGATCTGTGTTTTCAACGTGGCCGTCCGAGACAGTTCCTGCAGCGGAAAAAACAACCGTATTGACATGATTGCTTTACCCTGGTATCCGAGTTTGGGGAACTGTAAATATCTCAATATGTCGCACGTTGTGTTAATTTGCTTAGTATCACATGTACGTGTAGAGTCTAATGTTTTGCTTGCAAAAATTATATCACGAACAGACAGGCATCTGTATAAGTGAATCATGGATAAATTTCTTAACATTTTTAGGTCATTACTATTTGTGAACTGGATAGGAAGATGTTATAACGTTCGTTAATTATAGAAAAGAACAAAGATAATAATCATTGATTTTGCCTGGACTTCCAGCACAGTATTCAATGACTGGTTTCAAGATTTCAAGTCTAAGCTCGGTCGTGAAAGGACGCCTAATGAGCTCCATTCCGCTGCGTTTTTATATTCTGTTAGCACAATCGAAGCTATGAGAATCATCTACAGTGTAGCTATAATAGCATGTTTGCTGTACCCAAAAAAAATACCTTGCATTAAGCTCCTGCTTGCTAAATTTACAGAACACATTTATTGACTAACGTTTTTTTGTTGATTGATCTTTATAGCGTACACTCTATAGATAGTTAAAAATGTGATAACCTCACCATCAATCAACCTGACCTCAAATGACAAAACTCTCGAACCATTTTGCCCCAACCTGAATATGACATCCTACATCACTTAAGACAAAAATTAAAGATAAAATTTAGGCCTAAAACGCCCATGGCCCTGTTGTAAGGGGGCTGACAAGTGTTGTCGAATAGTTTTTCCACACATGCTAAATTGGTTTCTTATGAAAAAGATTTAATGCTGTTCTACGTACCTATGTAACTTTGATAACTCCCCCTTTACAAGTTTTATGCCGTGCAATATTGAGATTGTGGAGAAAGTTTGTTCTTCGTATCACGTTATATTTATAGAACTCGAGCACGAGGTATGTATACTAGATGTCTGGGGAAATGGAATAGAGAATAATAAATATAACGCTATTAGCAATGTAAATCCATTCTGATCGGAGCAGATACTAATGTATATGACAATCTTCTACTATGTGTACCACTGTGTGGTGCCTTAAAAGAAGACAACATTGTTATTGCTAAGGCGCTCCTTGAGCATGGTATTAAAACTGAAGCACAGACATTTGATGATTTCCATAGAATTAATATAAGCTATACACATTTACCTCTTCTAGACGAACGTTGGCTTGTAAGTAGTCAGCGTTCTTCGCCTCAAGAAGTTTGAGCTGCTTTTTTAAATCGCTCATTTCCTCCATTTTTTTTCGGTACATTTCTAACGAAGCTTCGTACCGACCGACCTGCTCATTTGTGTGCCTTAAAACATCAAGCTCATCCTTCAGCGCTGCTAGCTGTTCCCTATCTCGGGCCAACTCTTCATTACGAGCCGTTAAATCTCGAGCCAACGACTGAGCTTCCTCGAGTTTAGAGCGAAACTCTTCTTTTTGCATCTCCATTTTAAAAAGCTCGCTCTCCAATTTGCTCTGCTGGTCGCGTTGAGCCTTTACCTTCGCACCGATCGATCTATACGCAAAAAAGACAATCATTACTAGTTAGCTTTTCTTTGATAATGATGTGAATTAATATTAGCAATATTTAAACGTTTTCAATACAAGGTCATGTATTTCGTCAGTCTTGTACTCTAACAGGAATACTTACTGAGGAGCCTCTTCGCTTGCCATTTTATCTTGAACTTCACGTAGCTCATCTACAAGCAGCATCTTCTCCTGTCGTTCTGTTTGTAAAATTCCTTCGATTTCATGAAGACGCTGTTCAAGTCGTTCTCTTGCTCTTTCTTCCTGAACGAGCCTTTCCTCGAGTCGTCTAACAACGTCCGGCCCAGACAGCCCCGTTATGATACCGCTAGCAGAGGCCGCATCTAAGGCCGGTTGCGGCAGCGAATGCATCGACGCCATAAGCTGAAAATTGGCCATATTAATTTTATGGCTGCTCAGTTGTCCGCTCGAACTAAACAGAACTGTCACCAACACAAATGTTACTGTTATTAAGTCTATAGAAACAATCGCTGTTTGAGATCCTATAGATTAAAGAACGTTTATAAACTAAGGTCAATGCATTTGAATGAGTATAGGTTCATTTGTGCCACTGGAGCGTATGAAACAGCTCACGTAAAGAGCAGCATTCCGAACGCTGAAGAAGTTTGTAAGCGTTCTCACTTCTTGTATAGCTTTCATGACAACATGTTGCACTTCTTCCTCAAGGGCCATAATCCTTTGAATATAGCCCTCCTTCGATGGGCAGTTTACCGCTGCAGCCAGCACTAGTTGCAGCAGACGACCCACGTCGCGGCCACGCTCGCCTACTGATTGGGCCAGTTCGCCCTCGTTGAGAATGAGCGATATACACGACACGTCTCCCAGATAATCCACTACGCGGCCGATTACTTTCTTTACATTTGACACCTGTAATGTTCGAACCAAAAAGAATAAACATTAGTCCAGTATTCATAGATGCCACGGATATTCCGCATGCGTCTATATTGTAATACTAACAAAGCTGGTCATATTCTGGAAATGTTGCGGCAGGTTCTTACATATTTAGTGGAGTAGACGCCGAAAATTCGTTTCTACGCAGAGGTCGTAAACAGTCAATGTCTACAAAATACAAACAATATGCCTTTTTCTTAAAAAAATAGAACGCGTCTTTATGTCATACTAATCATATTGATGCATATATTCCTGAATATTAACCTTTAGATCTTCTAGTTAAATATATGGCGCATAAGAGCAATTTTAAACGATAACGGCCAAACATTTCACCCTTATTACATAGTGTATTTAATTAAATGTTTTATCAGTGCTAATTATATATCTACCAGTCTAATCGATCTCGAACACATTCTGAGTATTTCCTTTGAAATATCGCTATTACCATAAATTAATTCCCATCTAGTTTCTGGGAAAAGTTATCAAGCGCCATTGATCACAGTCAATCATTAATTATTTCAAAAGCATTTCAATTTATACAATCCCGCTAATTAACTTCATTATACCTCGATGTAGGATTAACGTTTGCCACGTTCAATGAGCCGACTGCACGAGATATTCAACATGATAGCGAGGTGCAATTGTATTAAGCGACATGTACAGAATAACTTCACTTAGACTCACCAAACCGCCTTTATAAAAACTAAAGTAATATAATTCATTAAACAGTGAGTCCGCTTCCATAGTCATACATATGCATGTAGCGACGACTTGTGCAAATTCTAGTTTACGTACTGCCGGGCACTGAGAAATATACACACTACATACTCATGTACTGCACATAATAGAACTAGACGCGCTCGCTATAAAAAACCAAATGACACTCGCAACGCAAATTTAAAGCGAAACAGCGAAATACGGAGGGTTATTCCGAGCAAACGCAATGGGTGAGGTCCCATTTGCTTACTTCCGTCACTTCAGCTGTGACATCTGTACTAAGCACCAACAGCGCCTCGTCGCACAACACCATACTCCAGTCAGCTCTAGCATGCATTAAATCTTAGCTTCTTCTATTCGTTCCTTCTTGCTTACATTCGACGTGAGAAGGCTGACGTTGCGCGGGATGAACTGAGAAGCGAAACTACTCCACCACTACCCGTAAAATCATTCGTCTGTGACTTGCGCATTGAGATGTACCCAAGCAGAAAAATAACAGAATGCCTATTTTCCGGTAGGTAATAATCCAGTTTGCAAATAAGAACCACTGCTGCATGACAAGGAAAGCAACATAAAGTATATATTAATTTTATACTATGAGTGCTAAATTGTTGATGTCACGTATATATAGATATATACGTAGACCAACAAAACACTTATGAAATAGCCTCATACGAAGACTAACTTGCCTTCAATCTCCAATTGTCGCCGCAGTCTGTCTTCAATTTGTTCAGCCATTGCGCATCGAAAAATTCTCCGTCTCTGGAAAAAGGTCCGAAAAAATTTTGATGACTCCCTTTGAAAGCTTAGGAACGATGTTTAGTGGATAATTTTAGAAGGTGTCATTTTAAGGGTGAAAATTGACAGAGTGATAAGGGGCTCTTCCACTGTGAAAAACTATAGTCGTAGGCGTGTGTCTAACTATTACGAGAGCTGCACCGAAGAAAATGCAATCCGTTGACATTCAAAGGCTTGTAGAGTAGATTATGCAAAGGATATCATACATATACAACTGCTTTCTGTGCTCAAATATACGGCCCCGAAATTTTCAGCAGCGCAAGTATTGCCATAATTCTATGGAATACTCAATAAGATTTTCTAAGAAAGTTTTGCAAGAAAATACTCGAAAGGTACTTACAACTGAAAAAGGGACAAAGTTAATTGCTTTTTATGAAAAGACGAAAGCAGTTTAGTAATCTTTAAAAGAAAAAACACTAAATATCTGATTTTGAATGTTTGCAATTGACCACCTACTACTCAAGGGGGCACCTTTTAAACCACATCGGTACTCGGTGTGTGGGTACTTTTCTATCTGATCTGAAAAAGACAGATCCTATTAAACCTACGAAAAGGAAAAACGGAACGGATTACACGAACCTTCGCAAATATTATACAACGATCTGCTAATATACTGATACAATAAATAAAGTAATCAAAGGCCTCAATGAACTGAAAGACATCAATAGAAATTGATCGAAAACGAGAAGCACTTAAATTTATCTATCGTCATTTCAGCTCAAGGCTCTTTGCCAACTTTGCATGTTCTTTATGATAATCTTACATCTGGTGGAGAACGTAGGCTAACGCCGTCCCATCAGAGAGTTCCTCCGGCGAAGAATGTGGTACCGGAATATCAAAGGATGCCCTCAGCTGAAACATAAGACAAGATCATAAAATACCAATAATTATGTCGACCACTTTTCGTTTTCCAATCCATTAAATGGCTTATATAATCCATATCAAAGCCAGTAAACTATGTATTGTTTCACTGCTCACCAGGTAAACAATCGCTGGCTTCCAGATAATTTCTATCCATGTGGAGTTGGTTTGTCGTCAGCCCACGGTAAAGCCGCAGGTAAAGCTTGATCGATGGCTATATATATGTATATATATATATATATATACGATAATAAAGCTATGCTAGCAATATGATCTTTATTATTGATATTTGCTAATAACTTTCAATTAGTGCTGCGAGAATAGAAAAATGCCGTATGAAAATAGGGAACAATATGGGTCAGTGTCATCTGATCACTGCTTTAACCTATAATACGATTTAATGTGAGAATCAATATTTAGTAGGCGGCAGCAAATCGGTACCTTTCCGCAGAAAAACTACCTTTAGCTAATATGTTTCGCTAAGTGTTTATGAAAAACGTAGGCCATATTTTTTCACGACTATTAAAAAAAATGTACCTAGTTTTTCATTTAGCTTTGTTTTGAGGCGGATCTTAAATTTCTAAGGCTGATGTCAGTTTTACCTGTAACGAGTTGTACGTATCTTTAGTAATTAAGTATACTCCTGTAAGAAGCGGCCATTAAGAATCATTGTTTACAGCAAGTTACACTTTGACGATAGGAAGCTTCCTTTAACGATTGGGACAAATAAAAATTTTTAGAAATAAAATAAATAAAAACCGTATTTAAAGAAAATTACAAATCAAATCCGCTAGTTTTTTACACTATTCCATACACATTTATACGCTTGTTATTGTTAAAATGTTTTAGCTTTTACAAAAACTAAGAATAGGCAGTGAATCTAATTTTGCAGTTTCCTTTAAGTACGGTTACTTATTTTAATCATTTTTATTTGCTACGATCGTTACGGGTATATTCTTCTCCATAAAGTGTAATTTATTGTAAACAATGATATTTAATGGTCATTTCCTCCATTGTAAGTCAATTCAATTATGTGTATCTAACCTTCCTGTTTCGGAGTCTCTTGAAGTTCACATGTTGTTACCACGAAACTTGCGAAAGGCGTAGTAACAGTTAATTTGTATTTAACAGTTTTGCTAAAGAAACACTCAGCATCAACTGAACAGCAGCAGTCACAATGCAGTCAATTTCAAGGCAAAAAAGTATCCACCAACGCTATGGTCACACCCTTAGCGACTGGAAAAGTTATATTGTTTTTCAATGTCACCCTAAAACGCCAAACCGAAATATGACATTCAATGGTAGTGTACGTTAGCGATCGGGTGTTCGTTTTAGATATGTATAAACCATAGTAATAAGCCAATGTCTACCTTCTATGACTCTAAATTAGAGACAATAGGAGAAATATACACGGAACACATTCGGATTATTGCACGAAGGGCAAAACACTACTCGAGATAAAGGCCAGCATTAATTGTCACTGATTGATCGCACAATTCCAGTACATCAAATAATTCTTTTAAGGAACTCCCTTCCTGCTGTTGCGTTTCTGTGTTTTATATGGGAAAGTTTAGCTTGTGCTAAACCGAGTTCCCTGCGGAACAGCGCGATATCTCTTAATGACTTGTATCAATATTATTATTATTAATGAAAAAAATCGATCTTCATATTAATGACCGCTAATTTTCCCTTGCAACTTATAAGCATAACGATATGATGGGATTCATCATGCTTTGCTATTGGCGTTATAGTTTAGCATCGCCGCTTTAGATTTTGTCTACGTGACTCATCTACGTTTGAATAAATTGACGAAAAAAATCAAGCCCTACAGTAATAGGGCAGCGAACGTGAACAGACCACGTAAGCAATAGCATCTGCCGCAACCCACGAAATACAGTTCAGGAAATAATGACGTCGCGTAATTTCACGTACTTATGTGACGTAACTTACTCAGCCCGTCTATAATGACCCTAAAATATCGTTGATAACACATAGCTTCCTGTTGATCCATATATATATATATATAATATTGGATTTCTCTAGATCCCTCGACTGTATGATAAGGGATGTAGCTCCTTTCCTTTTATTTACCGTGGTTTCAACATTTTGAGCGAATTAATATAAAGGAAGATTGACTTATTTAGGTTAAAAATACCAGTAATTGGGAGTTAATGCATAGAAATATACAAAATATATTAGTCAAAAAATAGAACTCGTTGATGGTAGAACGCTAAACGGCCAAAGAAAGGGATATCCTTTTTGCAGGAGACGACATCTTTTATTTGCCCTCCATAGTTTTTGGACTTATTCATGGGTCCAGAACTGTATCGTAACTCAATATATTCTTGCGAGCAGCTGAATTATCTTACCCGCCTCTATACAGAATATCTACTAAATGTAGTTTCTTTGACGCACGTAAGGCAGAGGTCTGGAGGCACGCGAAATGACTAAACAAGCGCTCAAATCGAACTCGATTTGAATATTGCTTCACATAGCAGACCAGAAGCTACTGATACCGCATCAGCCACTGATGAATAGCCAGCAACAATGCATCATAATAATGTAATTGTTTAATTATAACATAGACACATATGTATAGAGTCGTTCTTAGCTCCGCATTGTAAAAACGAAACACACATGGGCTTGGAGCTAAATTATTATCCGCTGGTAATAATCAGCAAATTGCTTCGTAGATAGGAAGTACGAGGACACGAGACACATGATAAGCTTCAGATCAGATATGGGCTTCTTTACTTAGGCGCAGTAAATGAAGCTGGCTGTACTGGCTTACAAACAAACCGATCAGACATATCTAGCAAATAAGCCCTATTTAACTCATGCTGCCGGTCTGTTTTTAAAGACACGTAAATTCCAAATGTTTAAATTCGTTACTATTCGATCTAAATTGCAAACTAATATTTTATTAGGATAAATTTGCTCAAGATAGTCATTAGACCAAAAAACCTGATCTTCATTGTTATACATACGCTACTCACTTAGATATAAACATTTGTAAGAGATTTTCCGTAAACGTGTTATATGAATATTAAAGAAAACACTTTAATTTAATCGACACATCTTCGCAATTCACTTCTGGCTACTACGTATCCTGTACCAGCAGATGAGTAGAAAAATATTAACTTATTTGATATTGCGTTAAGTAATGCAGTCAAGTAGCAGTTCAATGCATAACCACAAACTTAAATTGCTTTCCGATAGCTTTCGATAGATGTTCGAACCCGACGGTAACTTAAATCACGGATCAGTCAGCTTACGTTGCTGTTATTTTTCTTACCGGAAATCGACAAAAGGACATGCGCGCATACTCTACTAATCTTGAAAGAATATCGTTCACAATTGCGTAGCGAAAACCGATACAGAAACCTTAACTTGCTTCAATCAGTTTTTTCAATCAAAACAAATAGGTTCCGCAGAGAGGGAGAAAGAGAGCTATAATCCCATATTCTTCTATTATTATCATCATAAGAGTACGTCACGGAAATGTGACAATCGATATTTGTTTGCTTAACCGGGAGGTTTGGCATCAGCGTGAAGGAATTAGGCGCGGACCGAGGTATGAGTCAGAATTTGTTTTCTCGAAGAAGCACAAGAAGTTGTTTAACGAGAACGGGGCTGTTCAATCTCTGGAGCGCAGAGTGAAAAAATTAGCTGAATCGTTACGTTTACGTTACTCTTTTCCAGTAGGCGCAAACGTAACTCAGATAAGATTTTAGATAGACACATAAATGAGATAGACGAATCTCTTCAAACCTTTTGGTCCTGGTTTACGTTATCTGGTGGAAAGATTAGAAAAAAAATAGCAAATTTCGTATAATATGGTCCAAAAATGACTTCAGCTGTGAGAATATGAGTAGACCAAAGGGTCAGGAACTATCTGAATCTATACAGACATAAAACGTATGTAACAATTGTACTTCGACCTTTAGATGTTTCCGGTTACTCTACAAAGGACAGCGTTTCATTTGTGTACACAACGGCCGACGAAGTAACAATACATAAAGTCGTTTTATAAATACGTGTCTGACGATTAAAGACGACTACCACGTTTGCCTGCTCGATAGTCATGTCATACGACTAATACACCTCACTCTATTTATGCTTTTATCCTACTGGCGTTCTATCCAATCAAATGAGGGATCGCAGTTATTGCTATAGTCATCGTGACTACAGAAATCACCGTTTCCTGAGATTTATCGATTGAACGACGTTGCAGCCAGAATCCCATAGAGGCACTGGACGGGATCGACTGAGGATACGAAAATAACGTATCGGATTTGTTAATATCCGACCCTAGTCATCTGTATTGACGAATAGACTGGGCAACACAACAGTCGAAAGAGCTACCAAAAGACGTATTATCGTCTAATCACAACCTTCCTCGTCTCATGCAATAGCGAACGTAGGTAAGTATCGGTCTTTCTGCTCGTTGACCGAGTGGCTGCCGTCGATTATCTTTCTCAGAGGGATGCGACATTGAGCTTTCGAACGGGGCCTCATGGAGGCTCGAATCACCGTCAACCCAGCTGGCTCAAAGGCTGTTCAAGGGAGCCACCATAGAAACGGGTCACGAGGCCCTTTTCTCATATTGTTCGACGCCGTCTCGTGTTAGGAACTAATGTAACGTATTGCATAGCTTGAACAATTTCTCACCAAGCGCTGCAGTGGCTTATTTTCATTTTAACCTGTTTCATCTCGACCAACGTGTTTATGTTGTATCTGTCATTTTTCATCAGAAATTCAGAGACATCGCTATGGAATGAATAGCAGGGCCTCTGGGCGTAAAACTGAGAATCACTGATTCAAACCTCGGATTGAGGGTAGGCCGCACAGTAGAACCAAAGTACGAGAAACCTTTCAATACTACTTTACAAATTGGATTAATTTCTCCGACATTAAATAAGATATTTTTTCTATAAACAGATAGTCTTTTCTATGTGTGTATTGATCTTAGAAATATGTAAATCCAAGATAGATATTAGTGTTTCAAGCTGAGTTTGCGCTTTGAAGTTTCAAAATCCATCCTTATCAGCATACTCTTTCGAAGTGAGTAAAATGAAAAACTGAGGTAGCCGTTGTCGTACGATTGCTTGTTTGTAACAAACGACACTCACTGAATAAGCAACTGGTTCAGTTTTCCTTTTCCTTCCTACTTTAGATGGGACAAAACGAAAGGCCGTTTCGAAGTTATGAAAATTCAAATCACGTCAATTTGTTGTCCTTAACTCGCAGCCTCATATATTTTGTTTTTGCTTATTTTGATTGCTTGTGCTTCTAATCATACAACAAACGTTTCAAAGCAATTCACAAATGGTACCTAAGAGCAGCAAACATTTCAGCTTAGGACTTTCCGTGCGAAAGGGCCTAAGTTCATTTCAATATATTCTACAACCCCAGAGAACACAAACGCAAGATTTGCCAAATTTGGCTTCAATGTAGCTTAGCTCCGTTAGTAGTAGTAAAAAGAAGAAACTAATAAACTCCGTTACTTATTCTTCTTTAGACAGGAGTACTTCATGAAATATTGTAAACCCCGTGGTCAATTTTTAAGATAATGCTAGAGCTGAGTTACCGAAGCATTTTTGACACGATGCAAAACTGATACATGTTTTCTAGCCATAAATTACATTTTCTGACGAAAAATTCTACGAAAATTCAATGATTGTGTGAGATAAGTGAAAGGGTGGGGATGCATTTACCCGTTTTTTTAATACACATCAACTTGGTTGACAAAAAACCACTATTAGTAAAATTTAAACAATTAGTAATTTGAAAATGATTTTTTTTATATGCCTTCAGTGTCAAAATCGCCTGATCTAGCTAGTTGGAACCATTTTATAGAACCAAATAAAGCCTTTCTTCTACACAACCGTCTTTGATCTTTCTTAATTTATATTATTACGAACTGCTTATGCTGAAACAGTCTCGATCGATTGGAAAAACCAGTGACTTTTAATAATGCGTAAGTTATCTTCGTTGTTATCAGATGTGAATCATCGTTTCTCTATCCACATTCAGTGGCACTACGCGGGCACGTCCTCGGCATAAGTCCTCCTTTCTCAGACAAGGTTATATAT